AGAAATAAAAGTGATTTCAAAGATTTCTGATTTCAAAGAAATTCAGAAAATCAAAGGAGACATATCAAAAACCTATATTCTATGACATTGGAAAACCTAAAAGAAATAGGCAAATGACTAGTTGCATACAACATATAAAAATTAAACTAAGATGAAATGATTAAATTTAACAGATTTTTTTATCAACATCACCATTGAAGCAGTAGTAAAGTGTCTCAGTGAATAAACAGGACCAGATGGATTGCAGCAAAATTGTAGCATAACCTTCAAGAATTAGCAGCAATGTAGATCTGATCATCCCAATGAGATACAAAGGAAAAATAGAGGGAAGACTAGTATGCTTTTCAGTTCTATCTGATATTTTCCAAAGTGTTGTCCATATAGATATCAGATAGATGGTTAAATGCACATGTAGTATAATAATTTTTATTTAAATTACTTTAATGCCCATGTGTCTTACAGGACATGATAAAATGAAAATTTCACTAGCCCAGTTTATGCTGTATCCCATAATCTGTTTCTTATTCGCCTCTCTGAACAGTCTCAGTTGTTTTCTTGAATACTCTTGACTCCAGTGCCTTAACATTTCCTGTGCCCTTGCAGCACAGTACCATACCTTCACCCTTGACTCTGTATCAAGCCAAGCCACATGGCATTCTTTTCTTAAAGAAATATTAAGCTATGTGTTATAAACAATACTTTAGAAGCAGTGCCTGGCCTGTTTTTGTTGCTGTTGTGTTTTGCTATTGTTGTTTGTTTGTTTCTGACACCATGAGAAGAATTAGTCTAATCCTTATTGCTGGTTCTGGGAAGAGGACTAACACATGATTACCAGTATTTCCAGCCAATTACTGCTTAGTACAGAACCCTAGCAAATGAGTAAGTCCATCTCAATTGTATAACCAGAGCACCACAGCCTGCTGTTGTGAGCTCTGGGGGACAGAATAGTCTGTTATATAGAAAACCAACAAACACACAACTGTAAAGCTTTTTGCACAGTCTATACTAAACTGCTTAGAGACTCATAGCGAGACCACCCAGTCTCCAGTCTCACAATTCTTTGATTTTCTTTAATTATGCTTTGGGAATGCTTAAAAATTGAGGACTCTCAAGGCATTTCTTCTGAGGAAGATTTCTCTGGGTGTGTCAGGCAACCATTTACTCCTTTGTGCCAAGTACTTCTTTCTACATTAACCTTCCACTACACCATATACTATCTTTTCCCACTATATTGTCAGTGTGCTTGTTGAGAACATGGCTTTTGAGGCCAGAATAATTGGTTGAAATGTTGGCTTTATCCATTTACTATGTGACTTTGAGGCAAGCCACTTGTCTTTCAAGCTCTCATGCCATAGCCAGTTAATGTTAGCTAATTTTATGCTTACATGATAACTTGGAGTTGGTCATGTGCTCTGGAAATCTGAGGTTGCCCAGTAACCAATTAGAGTAAGCTTCAGTGAAGCTCAGGTCTTATCAATAGCTACACTCACTGATTTTTTTCTGTCTTGATGAAAACATGTTTCCTCTAATTGTTATCACATATTATAGTGTAATATGCAATGTGTGCATGGAATCATTTATGCTAGTGCACTTTTTCCCTCATTGATCAAGTTTGCCATCATTTATGACATCTCACATTTGTTGTTTTTTTCTAGAAACCATCTTTGATTACCACCAAACTATATGTTGCTATGTCACTCTGTCGTTGACTGTATATTGCACAGGTGGATGTTTAGATACATGAATGGGTACATGGAGTACTTAATATGTGTTATCTCTATTGTTTTCATTTAATAAATCCAAAAACAATGAAATTGTTTTATTGTCTCCTGGGAAAACTTTATTTGCTCTGATTTAGAAGTAAATTATGGCCCAAGTACAGGTTATTTATATCCGACTCCAAAAGAATTTAGGACAGTATGTTACGTTCACATCTCATTGTCCTGCAGTCAGAGATTATGTGCAGCCTAAAGAGGCAGATGGAAATCACTGATACCAAAGAATTGGTCTTATTGATTCAGTACAGAATTTCTTTGAATGAATGCAGTTATATTTAAAATAGTTAAAAATAAAGTCATGTGTATGTGCAGACACTAGTTTTGTACATAAGAATGAAACAATCTGGGTCCTAGAAATTCCATCTGAGTGTTACAACAGCCCTTAGCCGACTGATTTTCTAACATGTATTTTGAAGGATACTTTAGAGTTGAGGTGTCAAGAAACTGGCCTCTCTAAGACTGGGTGTCAGGTTCTTACCATTTTAATGATGATGATGATGTATTAGTTCCTTTGACAAATATTTCTATCCTATGCAATGTGTGCCAAACTGTAATTTATTGAACAAAAAACAGAATCCTACATTCTAGGACTTATCAGTTTGTTAAAGAGACATATGAACTAGCAAATGAACATAAAAATGAATACAACATACAGAATAGTATAAGGTAATCTGTGCGGTGAGCAAATGAAGCCAGCAATGATACAGAACTCTCATATGCAATGTACCAGTTGCTTTGTGGTACATGGGCACACTTTCTATTTCATAGGTTAGAATACAAGACATTATTGGGTTATGCTTAGTCTTAGGTTTTCCTCATTTCTGTAAATATCTGAAGCAAAAATTTTTACATTTTTTATTGTTTTATTTATTTTCCTATTTTATCATTTAAAATAGACACATGCATGCTTCAAATGTCAATCCTAGCTCCCTTCCCTTCTCCCTCCCAGCCACACCCCTAGTACCCCACCCTCTGCCCAATCCCCACATCTTTCCCCAGGGAGGGTGAGGCTCTCCTTGTGCGGAATCTCCAGAGTCTGTCATTTCATCCAGGGCAGGACCTGGGCCCTTTCCCATGTGTCCAGGCTGAGAGAACATCCCTCCATGTGGAATAGGCTCCCAAAGTTCATTTGTATGACTTGGTGAACACTAATCTACTACCCAAGGCCCCAGAGATTTTTGAGGCCTCCTCACTGACACTACATTCATGGAGTTTGGATCAGTCCCCTGTTGGCCTCTTAGCCATCAGTCTGAGGTTCAAGAGTTCCCCATTGTCCAGTCAGCTGTCTTTGTGGGTTTCACCAGCACAGTCTTGACCCCTTTGCTCATCACTCCTCCATCTCTGTCACTGGGTTCCTGTGGGTCAGTTCAGTGTTTAGCTGTGAGTATCTGTCTCTGCTTCCATCAGATGTATGTTCTAGGTTGTCATATAAGGTAGTCATCAAACTCATCATTAGGTAGGGGCTATTAATGTAGTCTCTCCACTATTATTAAGTTTTCCAGTTGGTGTCCTTGTAGATCTCTGGAAATCTCACTGGTGTCATCTCTCTCCTCAAAGCTATAATGACTCCAACTATTATGGTATCTCTCATCCTGTTCTCCTCTATTCTTACCCCGACTTGAAGCCAAACATTTATTGGCATAGAAATAACTTAAAACCTTCAGCCAATCCTAGAAATATACATTTACATTGCTCCAGGAAAATATTCTAGGAATGACTGTGAAATGGCTTTGATCATAGTCTGGATTCAGATTTGTATACTGGTTTTTTAACAATGTACATGTGTTGCCCTTTAGGCAAAGCTCTAGTGTGTGGTTTGTGGATTAGTACTAGTAACCTACTCTTTGTTCTGTGGCTGTAATGCCATCTTTAGAACAGAAGCTCTGTTAGTAGGCTTATTTGTCAGCATGCAGCGCTCCTGATCTAGGGCTTAGAGCATCCTCTCTCTCACGTTGATCCTGATGCCCAATACCTCCTGGAATGAAAACGCAAGGGTTTCAGCACTGGGGCAAACATGATCCAAGTGAAAAATGTTATTTCAAATCCCAGCCAAGGTAGGATCTCAGAATCAGCACATACATTCAAAAGAATCACAAGCAAGATAGACAGGTTAAAATCAAAAGAAATAAATCCAGAAAAAAACAAACATTATTCACCAATTCAGATAACATTTATAGATATATCATGTGGGTCCATTTATTTAATTCATATTAACTTGGGAAGAGCCTCTTTCATTTTTAAGCAGACTTTATTAGTAGCAATACTGACAATATCAATAATAATAATAATAATTAACATACTTAATTAGTAGTAATACTGACAATATCAATAATAATAATAATAATAATGTTTTGTGTCATTTCATCTGTTGGGCACAAAATTATATACTGGTCATATATATTTCATCCTTTAAAACATTTGAAGTATTGTGTGACTTATAAAAGATGGAATCTAGTAGAGAATAATTGCTTTTTTCATCTTATGGCTGCAAAGAAATGCTGAGCACCCCCAAGAGTTATGTTATAGATGTGTACGGGGTAGTTCTGTTGCCTCACCAGGTTTCAACATATTTATAAAACAGTGGATGGCCTTATGGCATTTGGATAAAACAATAACAAATTATCCATAAAAAGTAGTACATAGCTGACATACTTGTGTGGTTATTTTTCATGTATGTTTGTCTGCACTGTCCAGACCCACAGTTTCTTGGTCTGGTTTCCATTGAGTAGAAGCACCACTGCTCCTCATGAAGGGGTTGGGTAATGGGGAAAAATCTGATTGAGTGCAATGCATTAACAGCTATGGCTAGCTACTGGAGAAGCCTAGCAATACATTAGTATTCATGATGCCATTTATCTGCCTATTCATTCAGGAAACTTTTGAAATTGATACTGTTAGTTGGTTTCCATACTTATTTTTGTTCTCTGTTTTGGTGTCTTTACAGACAGGACATTCTTTTCATGATTGCATTTTTTTGTTCTTGTTCTCTTTATTTTTTAATTTTTATTTAAATTAAAAACAATCTTTTTTCTTTCTTTTTTTGAAATTTTTTTGAAAAATTAATTTAGTTCCCTTTCCCTCCTCTCCTCCCATGCTCCCCAACAAATCCCTCTTCCCACCTCTCGTCCACTCTCCAGGGAGGATGATGCCTCCCATGGGGGTTCATCAAAGTCTGTTACATCATTTGGGTCAGGGCCTCGACCCTCCCCCGTGTATCTCTCCTTAGGGAATGGGATCCCAAAATCAATTTATGCACTAGGGATAAATACTGGTTCCATGGCCAGAGACCCTATAGAGTGCCCAGGCCTCCCAACTGACACCCACGTTCAGGGGGCCTGCTTCAGTCCTATGGTGGTGTCCATGAATTCCCGCTTGATCAGGTGAGCTGTTTTTGTGGGTTTCCCCAGCATGGTCTTTGTTGGTGATAAATATAACAGCATTGAGATCACTGGTTCTCAACCTTCCTACTGCAGAAACCCTTTAATACACTCCCTCAGGTTTTAAATACCTCCAAACCATAAAATTTTTTTGTTGCCACCTCATAACTAATTTTGCTACTGTTATGAATAGCAATGTAAATATCTGCGTTCTCCAATGGTCTTAGGCAACCCCAAGTGGGTTGTGACCCACTGATTGAGAACCACTGCTGTAGATGATGCGCCATAAAACTGTAGTTCCTTATATGCCATTCCTATATTCAATTTTTGGGAATGGAAGCATATCATGTTTCCTAGTGTGGTATAATGTTAGCCATAAGCAACCTCTATTTTATTTTCTGTCATCTTTGCAAACATAAAACTTTTCTTTTTCTGAGATTATAATTTTAACATTTCTCCCTTCCCTCTCATCCTTGAAATCATCCTATATATCTTTTACCCCTTTCCTTCAGATTCATGGCCTCTGTTTCACTAATTATTATCAATTCATATATGTATATACATATATATTCATAAATATAGCCTGTTTGGTCTTTATAATGTAACTCTGTATACAAGTGTGAAACTTAAAAAAATGTTTTGGAGTTAATTATATAGGTGAATGAATAACTTGTATGTCCAGAAGGACACGTTGTAACTAGTAAACATAATGTAATTTTTTGTTTCCTAAAACCCAGGCAATAGTCTTTTAAAAATTATGGAGCTAAGCTAGACATGTGAATATTAAACCATCTACTTATTTATTACATAGGTATCATTTTTCTTTTAATCATATATTTCCCAGAGAATCATTTTCTTATATCAGGAACACCAACTGTTAAAAAAGATAAAATTAATTTCTTTGGTTGATTTTAAAAAGTGTATATGTCTGCTTTATCTGCTCATAAGCCTCAAATTTTCTATTATAATGTTTTGTATTTATCTTAATTATATATATGTATATATAATATATGGAATATAAGGATATAAAACCTGTTATGTATTGATCAAATCAGCATAGCTAGGATTTACTTTTCTTTAAATATTCAAAAATATTGATTTATTTAATTTACAGTAACTATGTGTTTTAGGAGGTACAATGTAGTACTTTAATACCTAGATAAGATTTGCCTATACATAGTATGGGTGACCCGTCAGAAATCTTTTCAAAGCACTAAATTTTCCTATATTGAACAGACAGTCAATATAGGAATACATGCACTTCTAAATTTTCTGTTATTCTTGTAATAAAATGCATTGCATCTTTAACCAGGTTTTAGAAAGATCATAAAACACATTAAAGCAGATACATATTTGTGCTTCAAGGTAGGAATTGGAAGCAACCCATTGTTTCATTGCTACTCACAGCAGGCAGAGCTTTTCCTTAGAGTATTCAAAAGTACAGCACAAAGTTTTATTGCTGTAAGATTCAGAGACTCAAATGTACCTAACTTCATTTGAGGCTAGTGCAGCATGTACCATGTTGGGCAATTTTTCTGTTATGTATTGCTGTAATAATCCTACATGGGAAAGCTCTACCAAATTCAGTATCATAGCTACTTTTTTTTTTAGCTCAAAAGCCTATAGAGCAATAACTTAGAGTGATACACTCTGGGAAGATCTAACTTTCTCTCAACATTTTCCAATGCCTGGTGACTAGCTGGATTCTAGCTTGGGAAAGTGAATAAATTAACCACATTTGTGTTTCTCCTATGATTGCCTATTACATATACATATTACACGTTCCAAGATGTAAGTATTTGCAAGACTAAAACTTATTGACTAAACCAGGTCGCAAAGCTTATCAGACTGGTAGAGATGTGCAAGCTTCTATGACATAGGGTGCTGTTATGGTGAAAACTCTGGGACTTGATAGTGTGGTGTATTTGTGTGCGCATATGTGTGTGTATGTGCACCATCGTGTATATTTGGAGGTTAGAATACAGTCTGAGAGAGTCATGGTTTCCTATCCACTATGTGGATTCTGGGTCATCTTTGTAGGTGGCAAGTGCTTTATCCATCGATCTGTCTTGTTAGAACCTGTTTCCCTCAATTTTACTTACATATTTATTACTGAAATGTGTTTAGTATTTTGCATTGTGCTGGAAAAATATCTGCAGAACAGTTTAAATCAAGTTCTTTGTTTGTTTGTTTCTTTGCTTGTTTTAATTTCATTCCTGCACCCAGTGGAATATCTCCATTATGGTTGTGAGGGCCGAATGGAAGAGAGCTATGTAAGTTAAGATGTCTAGAAAAAGTAAAAACAGGTGAAATCTAAATAAGGTATGACTTTTAAAGATGTGCATTCAGTTACCTACTTCCTCCAGTGCTGTGATCCACAAGAGTTATGCAGTGAGACTTCAAATGATAAAGCAGAAGTGTGAAGCACCAGAGTGAAGTGTTCTAATGGAGATAAACTCAGTTGCAAGAATTCTGGGCTCATCATCTTTTGTATAATGGCTGTTCTTAGAGTAAATCTCTTGTGAAGCCATAAGCACTTTCTTTTGGTGCAAGATTCAGTAGCATATAGATTATCAGGCACAATTTTCCATGTACTGGTATGGTGGCTCATCCCCCACAACTCTGTGGGACTTCCTGTAGGGAGTTGAGTCATGCAGTCAATAATCTTGGTTCCCACAGTCTAATCTCTGCTTCATTCCTTGAGATAGACTCAGAAGTCAGTTCCTTGTAATTATCTTCTACTTGGCAGGACATTTGGTCAGGAGCAGAGTTTTCATATGGATCACATTTCGGACCTTCAAGATATGGGTAGCAAGTCCCAGTTAGTTTGATTCTTTCTCTTTCCTGATAAGGAGACTGAGTGTCCTAAATTCTCCCACAGCTGACTTGGGAAAATGTTAACCTCTACTCTACTCTACAAAAGCTATTAATTGTCTACACCTATCCTTACTTCAGTTTATTGATACAGAATTTTAACCTAGGAACGTATCATGTACCAACTCCCCTGGTCCATTCTTATAATAAATTTTAACTCCTAACAATGCCCAGGCATCCTTTTAGTCATGTCTCCCCAGGGCCACAAAGATGCTGACAGTGTCAATCAAGACAGCTCTTATTTGCTTTTTGACCCTGAGAAATTCAAGCTCACAGAATTGCTTTTGTTTGTGTGTATATATAAGCTGGGAACTTAGCAGCACAGGATGAAAAAGAGTAACGAACATAGTTTGAAGAGCACATGTGTGAACTCATTCTGTACTTCTTAGTTTAGAAATTTTCTAAGTCTTTTCACTAGGCTTAGTCACTCACTTGAACCTTAGCACAGGGTCAGAAGAACTGGACTCTGCTGACCTTCCACACTCTAGGTGTTATAAGCAGCTCCTCCACAATTCCAGCACCTCTAACTAGTCTACTGCAAATTTGAACCCATCACTAGATTAAATTGCTGCTTAAGTTGAGCCTTCTTAACCTAATGATTTCTGGACTTGCAGAGATTCCCAGAGGTGTTTGCACTGATCTCTTGGACATTTCTCAAGCCCATGAAATAATAAAATAAAGGATCACTCAATGCATATAAATAATAGCTCTTGGTAGGTTATTTATTAGATATGTGTTGTACCACATTTTGCTTCAATCAATGAATTGCTTTGTTTTCTTATTGAGAACTTATGTTAAAAACAAAATTTTAAAAGTTCAAATTTGCACTGACTTTCTTTTATGGGCAGTACTGTTTAATCTAAAAATCTAGCTTGCCTCAATATCAGAATACATTCTACCTTCGAGCTCTGCATCACATTTACAAACTTATATATTTACATCAAAGATGAAACAACTCAAATTAGTTCTGCATGGCAATGTAGAATCAATCACAGGATAAAGATAATAAAACACTGTGTACTTTGTTCTAAGTCTTTGTTCTCAGTAGAGTTTTGTGGATGCACTATCAGTCACCATCATTTACTTCTTCTCTTAACTTCACACTCCCTCCTCTTCTTATCCTCTGTCTACATATGGTACAATGAGGTTGATGGTTCATTTACACATAAGTTGGTGATATGGTTCAGGACTGTTTCCATTAGATTCAGCCCAGATTATCTTGCCTAATCTAAAATATCACAAATTCCTTAAACTCTCATTTTGAGATGACTTCTCAAGAATTTAACTTTGATATCACTTTTATAATTAAATTTTATGTGTATGGGTGTTTTATCAACATTTATGTCTGTGTACCACATGTATAATTGGTGCTCTTGGAGATCCAAAGAGTGCTGGATACCTTGGAACTGTAGTTACAGATAGTTGTGAGCTGATGTCTTATGGATGTCATATGGGAATTGAACTTTGGTCCTCTGGAACAGCAATCAGTGTTCTTAACTGTTGAGCCATATCCCTCCCTGATTTCTTATATATTTTTAACTCAGATGTCTTACCAAATACACAGAGCATAGACTTCTTAATTCAAGATTCTCAGAAGATATTGATATTGCTTTTATATCTGAGTACTGGATTTTCTTGGTGCCATCTAATTCTCAGGGCATAGATACAGTGGCCTATCACTGCCTTTATTATTGACTTTAGAAAATATAAACATACATACACACACACACATACATACATACATGCATACATACATTAGTGGCTTTGTCCAACTTATATGGAAATTGAATTGGTGTTGGCGCCCTAGCTCTAGCAATATTTGAAAGAGTATGAAATGAAAAACCATCCATGTACACAGGAGTGTTTTCTTCTGATACCTTACACAGAAAACTTGTCAAGGGCTCAGAAGAATAAACTTTCATCACCTGGTGACCTGGTCTCTCTGTCTCTGTCTCTCATTCTATCCCTCATTTCCCCCTCTCTCTCTTATATCTCTCCTCCTCTCTCATTTTCTCACTCTACTAAATTAAATCTATAATATATATCTGATTTTGAAAAATACATATTTCTCTACATGTGTCTGTTTTCTGCTGTTGATTCACAGGGGCTTATAAAATGAAATCCATCTAAGGTTACAAATTGATTCTGGGTTTAGTGTCTAAAGATTATATTGTTATAATTGCTATGACTATGTAGTTGAAGTTATCTCCCAATAATTGCTAAGTATTAATAATTTATTTAGAACAATAAAAGGAGTTAAAACTAAAATGTGTGTTTGTGCAATATTCAGTGTGGTCTTGGTATCGACTATGGTGCTTGCTGCTTTATCACTGAAGGAGATTATGCTTGGTCAGGAAGTCACAACTCTTGTAAAACTTTATTAGTGTTCAAGATCATTAACAGGAAGCAGAGGTGAAAAAGAAGTAAATATTAAGTGTCAGTTTCAGACAGTCAGAGACAAGTTCATTGAGCTGTAAATTAAATCAAATGCTAGAAAATGCACAGGTCGTTAAAGTGTCCATTCTCTGCAAAACTGTTAAACTTTAAAAGACTTTTTCAAATAAAACCCCTTAAATGAACACTATGTCATGTTGGCACAGAGTAGGTTTACAGTTGTTGAAAGTGCTGGGTGTAAGGACATGAGAGAATATTCTTGTAAATATCCAAAAATGTCAGGAGTTAACAATTATCTCTTTTACAGCCTGCTTATTACCTTAAACATTTGTATATGGTATTAAAAATTCCAGGTTTTTGTCAATTACATTTATTTTTATGTATATTCTAATTTTTCTATTTTCTTTCCATTATTTTTGCCTTTTAATCTAGTTCCATTTTTGTGTATTATTGTATTCAAGGAGTTAGCAGGAACCACCTTGATGAGAAGTGAATTAAGGATATATACATACAACTAGGGAGCCAGCAGCATGCTTACTTTGTATGACTCTAAATGGGACATCTCTCATTAAAAAAATATCCTAAACCTACACAAGTTCCAGACAAGAAAAATTTCATCACAGGTGGAGGAAGGACTTGATATTTGGAGATCTATCAATCTATCTGTATCCATATATTGGTCTATCTATCCATCCATCTATCTATCTATCTATCTAAATTTTTCTTTGTACATGTGGTCACTGGAAGATTGTCCATGTCCCAAAGGATGGCCTCACACCCATTCACATGGTCAGCACCTATTAGGTTTAGTGGACCATTTTTAAAAAGGCAAAGTTGGGAGGGAAATAAGTAGGGGAAGTTATGGAGGGAGTTGAAGGGGAAAATGAAACTACATGTGATTGTATTTCATTATATACATGTATGTAATTCTCAAAAATAAACAAAATGGATTTATATATATATAAATTTTTCAAAGAATAATCAGATAATAAGGAGGAGTGCTGTGAACTGTCATTTTCTGGATATGGTATTGCTATTACACTTCCGCAACCACAGCTATTATTACCTGCACAAGACCTATACAAGATCAAGCTAGGCACAATTCCTATATCAATAGAGTAGAAGATCTTTAGGCCATACCTTTTGCTGAGGAGCCATGAGCACTAATGAACTCATACCATTCTAAAAAGAAGACAGTGACAGGCAGGCTGTGTTCACTAGGAATTATGAATACTGTGTGTTTCCCTTTACATACATGCCATTCTTTCAATTGATACATTAGATTTCCATATACATTGCTTATGTGCTGTTAAACATGAAATGGAAACACACACCTGAGTGTTTTAGGGAAGGATTCTTTATGTGGTAGTTGTAATTGAGCTTCTTATGGTTTGTTCCTTCAAGGTTCTGTACCATCATAAGTTATTCTCATGCCTGCAAAATTATTGGTTGGATATTTGTAATTGGAACGTATGTTAAAACCTGCCCAACCCTCCTGTTTGTAATCTGCTCCTCCTCAGAACTGTTTATGATGTTGAATTCTTATGTGTCAAACTCACTGAGGTTCCCAGGAAAAGCCTTCCCTTTTATGCATGAATAAAGTTTGACCTGAAGGGGGAAAAAAGAAAGCATTGAGAAACTGTATGCAAGATCTAGATGTTTCAATCATATGCTTTATCATTCCAAAAGCAGTTGTTGGAACACAGTAAACTAATTTGGTTGACTCTATGAGTGATGTTCCTACAAATCTAAGACATGAGAAAAAGATGAGGAAAGCTACTATTTTATGGATTCTGAACTCATGGAGTAGCAGTATTTTCTCATCTTATAAATTGTTTCTTACTTGATATGATCTTGTAGGAAACATATCCCACAAGCCTGATGTGTGAGTGCAATGTGCATACTAAAGCTGTGCTTTGATATTTGATCTTAAATAGCCAACCTGCTGATCTTAGAGTGTCAGTTCCATTCATTTCTGTCCCTAAGGCAATACTGTGAGAATATTGGTGTTGTACTCCATTACACAGGACAAAGAGGAAAAAAATCTTAAGGGATCACCTAGCATTTACTCAGTGACATATTATTTGTGTAATAGCCTATTTTCTTTTTGAAGGCCAGGGCTAACATCTTGCCTGACATTATAATATGTTTGTGTTTTACTCTAAGGTGAAGAGGGTTCTCAAACACCTTTGGGTGAATCCAATTTCCAATTCAAAGGAGTCATTTTATATCTTGTTTGTTAAAACTTTCTTCTCTCTAAAATCATCTTATTTAAAAGAGTTTGAGAATTACTTGGTGAAAAGTAGGTCATTTTGTTATAATCTGTAGAGAAGCTCTGCAGTTAGGCTGTGGAGCATTTATGCTTTTTAGCTCCATATAGACATTCCTGAAGCCAGAAGCCCCATAATAGGACATTTTAAGGGAACATCTTAATGATGTCCCAATAGCTATTAAGTTTTGTGATGAATTTTGAGAGGAGAAAACCTTAAGCATGAAAGGAAAGAATGCACACATTAAGTCCAGTGAGTCAATAGAAATGACAGACTGAAGTGGTACTTGTATTCCTTGTAGATATCTTGATTATAGATGTGTGATTATGTGGAAAACTTTCAACCAAGGAAAGTTTTTTGAAGAAGTCTTCAAAAAGTATAGCCCTCATTGCATTTTCTTAAATAGATAAATCCTTGTTAAGAAAAACATTTTTTGTTACTTACCAACTTTTCAATCCAGGTACTCATTTTAGGCATTAAGATAAATAGAAAAACAGGAAAATTGAATTTGATGTTGTAAGGGACAGAGATGAATATATTTGTTTTCTATTGTAATTGAGAGTGACTTCATTAGCATTATATTGCCTACAAATTCCTTGTTTTATAATATCATGCCAAGAAAAGAAACTTAACATGTCACAAATGGTGTCAGTAAACCTTGAATGCCAGAAGTCCTAAGTATACAAACATACTAAACAACATGCTAGTTAGTTCAAACAGTGTCTCTGTAGGGAAAAGGGACCAGTCAAAGAAACACACCCTGAGCAGAGACAAAAAAACACACTTGGCCCTGCAACCAGAACCAAAGTAATGTACCCTGACCCTGAAACCAGTGCCAAAGGAATACACTTTGTCCCTGGAATCTGAGTCAGTGAAAGAAATGCACCCTGGCCCTAAAATTGGAGCCAAAAGGCTAAAAAGGACCAGAGAAAGAAACACACTTTGGCCCTGAAACCAGAGCCAAATCTGACCTTAATCCTGTGCAGAAAACTAACCAATCCTCAAGCAAAGCTCTAGCAAATCTAAGCTCAGTACTGAAATCGGACCAATCCTTACCCTGGAAAAAGTTCCCCACCCCTAAGAATCCCTATATAAACCCTGTGTATGTTCAGCTTGGCTGGACCAGCTACCTGCCTTCCAATAAACCCCTTTGGATGAGCTTTGGGTGAATATCTTTTGTGGCAGCGACAGAGCAGAGCAGAATGAGCAGGGCTGTAACACTCGCCCAGGAAACCTTCCCTTGGCAGAGTGGAGTTGTTACACTCCACTCTCTTTTCCTGGCTCCCTGCTCCCCAAAGTCACCCAAGAAACCTCCTGCTGAGCAAAACTGCTACACTAGGTGAACATCCACAGCTGGAAGACTCTGTCCTGCTGGAGTGGAGCTGATACACTGGAGAAGCCTTTCTCTGAGGCAAGGCTGTAAGCTGCTAAGCTTACTACAACCTGTGGTGGTGCTTGGCTCCATAGCTCCAGGATACCTTTCCACCTGAGCTGTGTAACACTCAGTATTCTGTGGCTCTCGAGTACCAGAATACCTGACCCACTCCTGTTCCATCCTGTCCCGATCCATCCCGAAACGCTTACATTTGGTGCCAAAACCTGGGAAATGCCAACAGTCTCTTTCTGTGGAAATAAGGATTAAATATAGTCCATCTAATTTCATTTTGACAGCTTTTGTATCACATTTTAATACCTGTAAATGAAATCATTGCCAGTGCTCATTACTCATTCTCCTCTATTAATATGCATCAACTCCCTTGCCATAGTCCTTGGGAGGGAAATCTGTGCTTCTCCATTTCTTGATTTTGGTTTTGCTATGTCACACTTGAGACAGTCATGATGGGAGCATGCAATGAAACATGGCAGCAAAGGTAAGCTTTGCTTACCTTCTTGTGCTTCTATTTTCCTCAGAAGAAAGCTGTACCTTGGTTACCTGTGAGTTCAAGAAATATAAGAGACAAAGAAAAATTTGGAGTCTATTATAATCTTTCAGAAAAGAGTAACAGAAATAGTTAAATCTCAGCCAGTTTGTGAATGATTAGATAAAATCCTAAGTGCTTTCACAATGTGCCACTGATATGGTTTGTGGTTAATTGTTACATAGCAAAGGCTGGGTGAAGGCATAGCTATTCTTACTATCATTTATTTCTATAAAATCACTTATTCAATGAGATGGTGGGTCAGAAGTTGTATATAATTCCTACTGATCTAAAACTAAATTCACTTCATTTAATCATAACTCTTGGTTTACTATGTTTAATCACTGCACCAACGGAGGGAGCAGACAGATTACTGATAACTGTCAAATGGAATATCTTGTCTACCCTCTTTTTGTTGAAAACAGATTCTTCTGTCATACAATACATTCAAAGCACAGTTTACCCTCCTTTTATTCCTCTCAGCTTTTCCCAACCTCTCCACTTCCCTGATCCATACCCTTCCATTTCTCTTCACAAAAGAGCAGGCCTCCAAAAGACAAAAACCAAACATGAGAAAACAAGATACTCTACCTTATGAAAAAAAAGACTGCCCAAAACCTTTATGGTGATCTGTATTTGAGGAGTGTTCACGTGGATCTCAAAATCATCACTGTTGAGTTTGTTCTGAGAGGGTTTCTATTGGAGTTTGAATATGAAATTTCCAACACAAAAACCCATGTTGAACATTTGGTCACAGTTAATAGTGCCATTATTTGAGGTTCTAGAATCATAGTTAGGGGCATTTCTTCAAAGAAGTCTATCACTGAGTGTGAATGTAAAGTTTTTATCCTTTGTTTTCACACACTAATTATAGTTCCCTCTCTTTCCCCTCCTCCAGCTCATCTGGTACTTTCCCTGTGTCCCACTCTCCATTTTTTCCCTCAGAGAGGGTAAGGTCTCTTAAGAGGATTCAATGAAGTGTGTCCCATCACCATGTTGAGGCAGGACCCAGGCCATCCTCCCTGTGTCTAAGCAAAACAATGTATCTCTTCATAGGAATTAACCTCCAAAAAGCCAGTTTCTGCATTAAAGATAGACCTTGGTCCCATTTCCAGTGGCCCCACAAACTACCCAAGCTACCCACTGTCACCTGCATTCAGGGAGTGGGCTTAGCTCTCAAAGTCCAGTAAAAGAGAGGGAGGAATGATCTTATGAATAAATGGGTCAAGACCAGAATGGGGAAACTCACATAAACAGCTGACCTGAGCTAGTGAGAGCACACTGAATCTGAGTGTGAATCTTAAAGGCTGTATTTTTTGGTTACAGTCCCCATTTCATATTCTGCTTTTTGTTTGTAAGAAGGAGATAGCATATACTTATATATGTTACTCATGAAACTGATGATCTACTTCAGCATGAACCGATCTCAGAATCAATGGAGCCAAGGGCTATGAACTGACATCTTTGAAACCATGAGCCTAAATGAAACTTTTCTCACTAAGGTGATTTCTTTTTTTTTTATTACTTTAATTTTAAATAGCTTGCTTCACATGTCAATCCCAGTTCCCTCTCCCTCCCCTCTTCCTGCACTTCCCCACCCCCCCAAGCTTCCTACCCTATCCCCACTTCCTTCCACATAGGGGATATCAAGACTGACATTTCACTCAGGACAGGGTCCAGGCACTCCCCTAAGAGTCCAAGGTGAGAGAGCAGTCCTCTTTGTGTTATGGACACACGAAATCCGTTTGTATGCCAGTGATAAACACTGATCTACTACCCAGGGCCCCATAGGTTGCCCAAGCCTCCTCACTGACTCTCACACTCAGGGGGTCTGGATCAGTCCCATGCTGGCCTCTCAGCTGTTGGTCTGGGGTCCAAGAGCTCTCCCTTGTTCAGATCAGCTGTCTCTGCTGGTTTTGCCAGCCCATTCTTTGCCAATTTGCTCATCGCTCCTCTCGCTCTGTCACTGGATTCCATGGGTTCAGTTCAGTGTTTAATTGTGGGTATTTGCCTCTGCTTCCATCAGTCACTGGATAAAGGTTCTAGGATGGCTATAGACATCAAGTTCATTATCAGGAATGGGCACTTAAGGTGGTCTCTCCACTATTGCTTAGTTTGCCACTTGGTGTCATTGGTGCCAGATCTGTCTTGTAACCTATGACTCCCTCTTTCCTCTATTTTACCCCCCACTCGACCTTCCTGTTCCCCCATGACCTACTCTCTCTTCCTCTTCTCCCCCTCTCTTCTTCCCAGCTCCCACTCCCCTCCATCCCTCGCCATGTTCCCAATCTGTTCGGAAGATCTTTCCTCATTCCTCTTCTCTGGGGTACCATGTATATCTGTCTTAGCTTCTTTCCTGTTTCCCAGACTCTCTGTCAGTGGAAGTGCAGACTTGCACTATCCTGACTAAGGTGATTTCTAACACATTTTTTGTCACAGTGATGACAACCAACCATAACAAAGTCTTGTGATGTATAAGAGTGATGCGGCACTAAACAAAATATTACCTTATATTGCCCACCTGAGGAATGCTTTACAGATAGGAGAAATATTAATGGATAGTTCACATGTGTGAACTAATTGTATTGCATGACATTTTAATCTTACATTCCTTAAGAATCCCTGACTGCATTGTTGTATCAAAAAATGTACAAAGTGTGGAGATAATTGACAACTTATTGAATGGATGGGAGAAGATTTAAAACATTTACAACTGCTTGTCAAGAAGACATTGATTTTCAGTAATAAGCTTTTGTTGCTCTTGTTTTGCACTATTTTAAAATCAGGAAGTATGTATTGAGCACATATTATTGAACCACTATAGGCTTGCTACTGCCTTGTGGCAGCAATATAAAAAATCAATGTCTTTCTCAGATACAATGTTAATGATGGGATTTTGAGCATTTATTCACTCAAAATGACATGCCAGAGACAGCTAGCATACTTAAGGATGTGTGTAGCTCTCCACCCATTCCTACTTGGAAGATTGTTGGATATTAACTCCTTAGAAATACAGGCACAATACTGAACTTGAAATGACACACTGTGTTTAGAAGGACTTTGGAAATGTAGTACAAAGAAGACTTGTGGTGAGGTATTTCCACAAAATGTGTAATATCCTTAAAGTGTCCATGTTAAAGTAATTCTTTGCTAATTCTTGATTATGTTGTCAATTCTCTGGGACTAATGAAGCTTGTATTCTAAATAGGGAAAAAGCAAAGATACACAAACATTTCTTACCTCTACTCTTGTTTGTGTACTTATAATCCCATGAGATCAAAACATTTAACTTTCCACTATACAAATAAAAATGGGCACCTTTGTAAGAAAGGAAATAGCTGTTAGCCAGTTCTGAACATAGACCTCTCACTGTAGGTTTTTACTCCATGGTAGATACTCAGTTACATCCTTTAGCTGGAGATCTTTGACACATAAGACTTTGATTAACCTGTCCAGTGATTGTGATTGCTAAACATCTCCCTGCTCTACCACCCTCAGCACTATATCTGTCATTTCAGCAGCATTTCCAATGTTATGTACAAAGGCATGGAGGTACTGTTGCCTCCATGAAAACAACATCCTAGGGCACAGCAATGTGCTGATCCCTCAGGAGAAAACCATTAAGTGATATCAAGGAATGTTCCAGTCATTCATCCATGGAAAGTAAATTGGGCTAAGCATATTTAACCTCAGAAATGTCTCCTCAGTCAATCTTCTTGGTCAACAGCTAAATTGTATTTTTGCCATTTGACCCAAACCACCCTGTTTTCTGTTACTTTCTCACCTAAGCAGCAAATTGTCTATAGCCTGATTTAAATCTCCAAATCAAATCTTCACTTTATCGCTAGTTCAGGAGATTAAAAAGTGTACCTCCAGGCAGCAGTTAATAAGTAATTGTTTATTTAGCCATCATGTCAGGAGCGAAGTTCACAATCAATTCTCCAGGGGTCGAGTTTAGAATTCACTTAAATACTGCTTGCCCTTTTCCCAGTGAATGGCTGCTCAGTTGTTTCCTGAGTTTGATTAAGGTTACAGTAATAATCGTCTTCTACTTCTAATTAAGTTGAAACTACATGTAAGAGTTTGACTTAGGAGCAGGAGTTTCTATCCTGATTTTCTTTTGCTAGTTAGAGATTTAGTTATATTTTTGGCACATCTTATATGTGAGATATTTTAAATACATTTTATGAATTACAGTGATAATTTCTTTTATCATCACTATTGCTCAGATATTATATTATTCATATTGATAATGAAAAACATACTTTTCAGACATTTTGAAAAACTTCACACATCCCTGCAGATAAATGTTAGATAAATGACTCATTGCACAGGTCTTTGAGAGTATGAACCTGTTGTTCTCTATTACTGCCCTAGAGAGCCTAAAAAAGCTAGTAACATTTATACACACTGGTAAATCCTTTGTATATATTCTTTCTTTAATTCAACTTAACAGGCAATTATTTTAGTATGGATTCATAATATATATTTATTTAATTGAACTTAACAGTCATTAACATTTCTGAGGATAGTGGTACAGAAATGGAAGGAAAAAGGATAACACATCCTTTCTGTTATCCTTGGGGACATAATTTACCATGTTATGGAAGGGAGGCTGGAAATAGAGCAACACAATTTAAGAAAAAATAGCATTTGATTTCTCTGTGTTTATGGCTCAGTTATGTGGTGTTTTCATGAATGGGTCTTACTGTCAGGTTGTGGAGGGTAATCAGGAACACTGGAAATATCATGTAAAGTTTGGATATCTACACTTCAGGGCAGGCCCACATCCAAGACTAGTTGGAAAACACAGACTGAACTTGATGGGTTTTAGTTAGATAAATAGACAGATAGATAGATAGATAGATAGATAGATAGAAAGAATAATAGATAGAGAAGGAGAGCTCTAGAGAAAGAGGACATCAAGGCAGGGAGGTGAGGATACTTTTGAACATTGTAGGGTGAGGATGTTGAATATGATCAATATTGGTTGTATAAAATTTTAATTTTCAAAGAATTAATAAAATATTATCTTAAAATATTATGGTAAAAGTTATTACACAAATACCAATAAACTGCTTTTTAATGTGAGGGCTAAGTATAAATTTTATGGTGTTGATTGCCAAGCTGCACTTAATAGCTTATTGGGTAAAGTTTTTGTTAACTGCTATAAGTTCTGCTGAACCGTTGTGAAGGCCTTCAGTGTCATGATTGCGCAACCAGGCAAACATGAAAATTGTCCTTTTTCTCTTCATCTCACCATTGGATCAATTTATTGATTGTTAGTCTAAATACCCAAGTATAGGATGACTACAATCACATATTCAATTACCAGGGTTTAATGCTTAGTATACATAGACTATACATTAAAAGTAGTATACTTTTACTGTTGTAAGCGTGCAAACTTCATTTATTTATGTGACCATGGAATTATACTCACCTCTGTTCATGCCCATACATGCTTACCTTTCTCTCCATTGAGCATAAACTTGTGAACAGTTTGAGTTGCTAGGTGAGAGAAGCATATGTCTAAGTCATAACCAATACTGAGATCCAACTTGCCAGGGATCCCAGGTCTGAATGCTATCTTCAAATTAGTCACATTTCCAAATTTCTTCAAATTAATCATTGATGTCTTCTGCTGTGTGCTGATGTAGGAAGTACATCAGAGATGTTAAAAGTTAAGAGATAAAGCAGACTGGATTTACCAATTCACAGAGGAAATATGTTTGTATTGGATCTTATACTATCAACAATTTATTTTTCTGTAAATATCAGTTCACTAATTATAAATTCTAAGATTCTGCAGACAAAGGAATTGTTCTATCAGCCATAACTATTCCATGAGTTTATTACTTCTCCAGTTTGCCCATCAGGGAGATTGATATCTCTGGTTCAACTGTGAAGTGCTTTATCATATTTTCCAGGTTGCAATACCAAGTTCAGTGCCCTAGATGCTAGAATAGAGAGGATATTGAGAAAAGATGAACCTTATGGAGGAATGTATATGGCCTGAGGGGCATAGTGTAACCCCTTATGGTGATGCATAATTTAAACTTCCATGTGATTACCATTGTGTCTCCCAAACTGACGCCATGTAATTGGGAATGCATTAATGAACACCATCAATAGTTCAGAAAGCTCTAAAAGAACTAATTACATGTGTGATGGAGTAACATAAGTTACTTGGGACACTTGGTTTAAAAATTAGAAATGATGTATATAGCAGTTTCCAATTTTAGTTATATGAGACAATAAACAATGGTCTTTAAAGGACTCAAATCAAATGAACAGAAAATTTTAGAAAATATTTGGAGGAACACTGACTTTCTAATCTTAGAAGGCTCACAAGACATCACAGAAATAGTCAAATAGAAATGAGCAAATAAAGACTAAAGGCTAAATACTCAACCTCCCCATGCTAAATAGAGATTAGTGTACAACAAATAACAACAAAAATACTAGAAGAGATAGTCTAGGTGATCTTTAGTACCCACCCATTAGTGAAAAGCTATTGGCAGTGGATAGTTGTTGGGAGGGACAAGCATTCTTTACTGAGGATGTTCTACTGAAAGGATTCCAAGAACTAGTAAATAGCCCCACTCCTATGCACATATTAGGGGCAATAACTGGGCAGTCATTATTATATACATGTATGAAATTCTCAAAAATAGAGAAAAATTAAAAGGATAACCAAACTGCTCTTTTTTTCCTAGTTTGCTGCTAAGTTGCTATGATAAAATAGTAACCAAAGGCAGATCATAGTGTAAATAGTTCATTTGGCTTACATGTATGGATCACAGAGGGAATTCAGGATAAGAATTTAAGCATGAGGAAACTCAAAAAATTATAGACGCAAGGGACTGTTAACTTGCTTCCTCTGGCTTTCTCAGCTGCTGATCTTGTGCGGCCCAGGCCTACCTACCCAGAGATGACATGTCCCACGAGATGGGCTCTCTCACATCAGTCAACAATCAAGAATAGGCCCTAACTCTTGCCCACAGACTAATATGATAGAAACAAATACTGAATTTAGATTCCCTCTGCCCAGATATGAGTAGCCTTAAAAGAAGTTAACAAAAGTTGTCATTGTTGATATACAAACACATCACTTTATCTTTAGCCCTCAAGTATTCATGTTAGCATCACAGTATAAAACAGAGTTTGTGTTTGTAAAGTCCCATAGTCTCTAAAACATTCAATTTAAAAATTAAAAAAAATGGAATCTTGAAATTCTCAGGCAAATGTATGGAACTAGAAGAAACCATCCTGTGTGAGGTAACCCAGTCACAAAAAAACAAACATGGTTTGTACTCATTCTTATGTGGCTTTTAGGCATATAGAAAAGGATTAGCAGCCTACAATCCACACCACCAGAAGAGTAAGAAAACAAGGAGGACCCCCAAGAGAAATACTCAAGGACCCCTGAAGAAGGAAAGGAGACAAGGACCCCCGAGCAAATTGGGAGCATGGCGGGGGGGGGAGAGGAGGAAGATGGAAAGAAGAGAAGGGAAGAAGGGGGAAGAAAACTGAGACAGGGGAGGAATAGAATAGGGCAAGAAAGGAAATGCCTTGATAAGGGGAGTCACTATAAGTTCAGAGAGAGGTCTGGGACAGAGAAAATGGTAGGAGATGCAGAGCGACAACCCCAACTAAGAATCTAGGCAGTTGTGGAGAGGCTGTCTTTGATGCCCTTCCCCTATAATGAGATTGATAACTACTTTGGTTTCCATTCCTAGAGCCTTGACCCAGTAGCTGATCTAAGCAGAAGCAGGCACCCACAGCTAAACACTGAGCCATACTCCTGAAATCCAGTTGCAGAGAGAGGGTGGAGGGATTAGCAAATGAACCAAGATGGAACTGGAGACACCACAGAATCAGAAACATTTGACCTGTCCTAATGAGAACATGCAGACCATAGCTGTAGAGTGGGGAAATCAGTATTGGACCAAACCAAGCTCTCTGAATGTGGGTACTAGGTAGGAGGCCAAGACAGTCTATGGGACCTCTAACAAGGAGCCAGGGTTCATTCCTGGGCCCCAAATGGACTTCCGGAGGCCATTCCCAATGGAGGGATACTATTGCAGCCCAGATATGGAAAGGAGAGCCTGGATCCTCCCCCAAATGATGTGATGGACTTTGATGATCCCCCCTGGAGGGTCTCATTATCTCTGGGAAGTGGGTGGTGAGTAGGTTGGTGGGATTGGTGGGAAGCATGGGAGGATGGGAGGGCAAGGGAATGGGGGAAAGGATATGCAATTTTCTATAAAATAGAAAAAAGTGAAAAAATACTCTTTAAAAATCCAAAATATATTTAATTGTAGGATCCTATAAAATAAGAGAGAACTAAACACTTTTTCACCATTAGAGAGAAGAACCAGGGCACAATTACTTACAGTCACACTTAAGCAAAAGAAAAAGTTAACAGTGTTAAACATCTAGCTCAAGGTTAGACATTTTTGACATGTATATACAACCTACTGAGTCTGTTTAGTCTTGCTCCTATATACATGCATCTGGAGCTGACCACTTGAGACTGGACAATGTATAAGAGAGCCAGCCTCTGGAGGAAAAAGATTCCCTTTCTCTCTGCAACCATTGTCACCTATGGCAATTCATTTAGTGGTAGAACCTTGTGAAATGTTCACAGTCTTGTGTGTCAACTGGTGTTGTCACTATGCCTCTCTTGTTTAGACAACTACATTGTCAAATTTCACTGGTGCATTTTGCTTGTCACATCAGAGGACATTATCTGCAAACAGATATTCTGGACCACTGACTTTTACGATATGGCCATTCCCTCTTCTCTAAATTTTGCTAAGCCTTTGGTGTATGGTTATATTGTAGATATACCAGTTGGGATGGAACAACTTGTGAATCACTTATTTTCTTCATTTAATCAGCTGTGCATCTCTGTAGAAATCTCCACCTATTGCAAATAAAATAATTCTCTTTGATGGGGGTGAGAGCCAAACTTATTTATAGGTATAATTATTGAGAATAAAATTAGAAATTATATTGGTTTAAGAAAATTACAACAGTGGGATTTCCTCTTTGGACTTTGATCTTTTTGGTCATGGTAGTTGGCTACATTTACAATACCCGACATAAATTCTTCCTACTGATCAAGTCTTAGTCCAGTTGGAGAGTTATAATTTAAACTTTGGACTCCCATCCAACAATGTGAGATGCATTCTCACCCTGAACTCTTGAGGGAGGGTCTAGGCCCTGCCCTGGATGAAATGACAGACTGTGGACACCCCCAAGGAGGGCCTCACCCTCCCTTGCGAAATGAGGGGATATTGGGGGTATTGAGGGGAGGGCATGGGAGAAGGGGAGGGAAAGAGAGAGGGACCTGGAACTGACTTGTGAAGCAACCTTGCTCTAATTTAAATTAAAATTCAAAAATAAATAATAAAAAAAGAAAAAAAAAGAAAAGCAGTGCATGACAGAAAGACTCCATGTGTCAGGGTTCAAACTGATGGATTTTCTTTTTACTTAGAGAAAGGGATCATAAAAAGGGGAAAAGGGATGGAGGATATTGGCCTCCAGGGATATAAGCAGCAGGAGATAGGAAGGAGGGGCAGAGGGAGAGTGAACAGATAGAGTAAGGGAGAGAAAGAAAGAGAGAGTGAAGAGGATGGGAGATAGGCAGCGTCCTTTTAAAAGGAAACAGTGAATATGCACAGGTGGTGCTTTTATTGGTTTCAGGTGAGGGTGTATCCTGTCAGAACCCTAAAGACAGGTCAGTACCTGGTGAATTAAAGTCATTATTATGCTGATGAGATTTACCAAAATAAAAAGTCATAGAATATGTGATTCTCTATCTGTATGATAATATTAAAATGACACAATCATAGAAGAAGGTGCTTATGATGATAACATAATTTTGTCATCTTGGATATCTTTATAATGATACCAATCCTGTATCTTGATTTCTGTAATGTGTACATGAATATATACATGAGATAAAATGGCATAGCACTAAACATATATGTGAATTTGTGCACAAATTTGTGTTTACATAGAAACTACCCAAATAAATTTCATTGTTTTAATATTTCACTACAATTATGTAAGATGTAACATTTGGGGGAATTTGGGTAAAGGATGAATACTATGTATTTATATTACTTTTGAAAATGCCTGTTAGTATGTAATTAATCAAAATGAGGAGATGGATTAGAGAATAATTTAAAATATCATCCCATTAAAGAAATTGGAATAGGGAAGATTATTTGTATACAACAAAAGAAAAATATCAACTAGCAAATCTTAATGGGTATTGAGAATATGAAAAAGAAACAATGGTAAAACAAATAATGAGAATGTAGAATTTTAATAAAATATATTTTGCTTTTTAGTCTAATCTATAGTTAAGCTTACATATACCAATAAAAATGGGATGATGATCACTTCCTTTTGAATATGAAAAAAGATGTATGGGTGTTTGGAGTCCTCATTGTTATTGTGAAGATAAGCTATGGTTTAGGTTTTCAGTATTTAGAGTGTCTGTAGAACCATACCTCATCATTCTGGATCATATTCATTTTGATTATTTAACAGATTGTGTGCTTTCTCTGTGCCATGGTAACTGTCCCCATAGGTCTTTTTGTTGTGGTGTTCCTGCACAGTTCCACAGCCGCCT